TTTGGGTATTCAGCTATCGTACGAAAGACTCTTTATAATCAACGTAACCAATAGTGTAACGTTTTGCGCTAACTCTTTAGTTAAATAACTGCTTATTTGCATTACATCGAGTTCAATCCTCAACGTAGTAAATGTCATTCTGTATTTTTTTTATTTTTTAATTCAGTGAACTACTTTGTAGTTATTATTATGTTGTATATCTATTAGTAAAACAATCTCTTAATTTTTTCCATAGCGGTGCCAACTATAGAATAAGTTAAGAAGATCTGTTGTATTAACAATAATCGGACGGATCAACTCAAAGTTCATAGATGTCGCCTATTATTGTTGATAATATAAATTTTGATAATATCCATATACATACATGATTTAATTTTTCTTTCGATTTTTTTTAATATTATTTTACTTAGTAAGTCAATTAAATAAATAAAATAGAATATTGGAGGTATTTAACTAATAAGTTATCAACTAGCATACGATATTGGTTCGGTAGCCGATAGCCACGGTAGCTGCCGTGGCTAGTATAGCTGGCGGGTGAACGTAGTTACCAATTAGCAGTTAATCGTCGTTGCGCTATAATGTGCCGGGTGTCGAGGCTACAACCAATAGCTGGTTATATCGACGACATATAACTTATCCGCGGCTATTCTTTGCATAGCTGCTATATAGCTGAGTATAACTACCCATTGCAAACGACTACAACAGCACTTGTATGGCTTTTGTATTGAATTTCATGTCTCTTAAGAATATATTTGTTGAAGTCTTTTTATGGAGATCTTTATTAATATTTGATACAATTTCACCATAAGGAATAGGAAACAAATAAATTCCTATGGTGTAAGCACACGAACGATATGTCTTTATAACAATTTCATCACTCTCGTGATGTGAGGGAGAAAGAATTTTAATAATAGCTGTCCTATTGCTAGCAAAATACTCTGTCAGGTGGATCTTAATATAAAGTTAAAATAAAAAAGAATGACCAAAATGTGCGGAACGTAATCAATATTTAACTGTTTTTTTTTTTATTTTATATTCGAGATTTTTTATTATTCTTTTATTTTTTACTATTCTTTTTACTCTTTCAGTTTATTTTTTGTTCTTCCTTAATTGAATGTTTAACCTGTCTGATCTGAAAAAATAACTTGAAACTTGAATGTTTAATCAAGTTATTTTTTCTGATCTGTCAGGATCGGACTCTTTTTCGAATTGGTTTTTTTTTGTTTCACTTCCTACACATTGTATTTATTACAAAAAATCGTTCTTTTCTTTAGTAGGTATTATTTTTTCTTTACACCTTCGTTAATCATTCTATTTAAACCTATAAAGGTACCTGCCAATCCACGCGACAAGTAGATATATGTCAAGATTGATACATTCGTACATTTTTAGTACGATTTTTTCTAAATGTACATAGAAGCTCTACTAGGTTTATAAAATTCAACAATTAAGAAGCGACTTTATTTATTTCCGCTTGATTAATTATTTTTATTATATTATAATTAGACATTATTAAATAGGTAGCAAACTATTTTATTTTATGACGAATGGAGAGCTTAAACAATACTATGCTACTGCATTTATTGGTATATTCTGTAATGTGCATGGTTACCGTTTACGTCTATAGGTGACGGTTATCACTTTTCATCAGGTAGGCCGTCAGCTTCATTGGCATTCTGTCTTGAAAAAAAAGTAACTAAATTATTTATAAGTAATGAGGTAGCGTTATAATATACATAGCATTTACTAAATATTTCCATAGTTTACATCTACTAGTGCTACTACTATGGCGTGAATTTACAGGGTACAGAGGAATAACACCTGAGTCCTCAGGAATGGTAATGCATGGGAGGTATCATGGGCGAAACAGTATACTCTGTTATGTCCATGGTACTGGTCATGTCTATAGGCGACGGTTACCACTTTCCATCAGGTAGGCCGTCAGCTTGTTTGCCATTCTAAGTTATATATATAAAAAAAAACTAGTCTAGAGAACTTGATAGTAATGGCCAATTCTTCGCATGGAAGTGAGAGGCAAAGATTTTCTCTTAAATAATAATTTAAAATATCAACATGATTTAATTTTTAATTGTTGAAAAAAGGCTTTGCTAATTCCTTCAAGTTTGAAAGAAATTGTAAAGTGCTTAAGTTACTTCTCTGTTAATACTAATCATGTTTATCTATAGTAGATGTTTATTTCTTGGGAAATTTTAACGTCTCGAATATTAAGATTTCGTTTGCTCCTTCTATCAGATTTTGATATTAACACCAAATATTTAACTGCTTAAAATAAATGATGAATTTCATTGGAATTGGTTTGCTCTAATGTAAACAAATAGGGGACGGATGCTACCTACCTATTAGTAATTATTTTTAATGACTTCAATATACTTGGAACTCTGAGAGAAAAGGAGAAAATAAATAACAGTCCAAACCCAAATGAAACCAAATGTACATATTTGATGTGCTTCCAAATTTATTACTAGTGTTACTATCTATATCACCATTTTCTAAATAATGGAGATAACTCAAATTGTACATTCTTAGAGTTGTCTGTTCGTCTTTGATTATTTCCATAAATAGGTACTTGTATATTACAACTACACAGATTCCACAGAAATTAATTTTCCTTTAAGCCCAAAGTGCAATGTGCTGAATGCAGGAATCTTGTGAATTCAAACCCCGGATTGAAATTCAGCCACTGCTACCTGAGCTGAGTACGTTTCCAATACCTACAACATTTTATTTTATTCATTTATTTCATGCACTAAGAACACTCATGCTTAGAAAACTACCGAATTGAATTACATGAACAATTATTCAAAGTACAGTAATGTAAGGAGATTCAAAGAGATCGTTTATAAAGTGAGGTCTTCATAAGTATTTCTTTATACTCAATTCAAAGTGGCTTTTACAGGTGCTTACTAAAGAAGAAATAATGCTACGAAAGAAGTTCCCATGGAGTCAGACTCACTCACGTTTAAGAAAAAAATATAATCTTTTTCACATGACAATATCCTATCTGTGCAATGCAATGTGCTAATATGCATTCCATGCACCAGTACGTATCGTCGTAGCAGATATGTTATGGAGCCAACTCCACGTATTTCGTAGGCTAAACTCGGGTTTAATTTATAAAACTAATCCAATGCTTCATGCAAGAAACTAGTAAATGAAGTTAGACGTTTTTATAATCTATGTATGTATGTATATATGTATATATATGTGTGTGTATAAACATCGAACGATACACAAAATTATTTAGGTATCTCGGACTAATTTCACAATTTAATGCAGTGTAAACCTCGACGGTATAGAGGAGCACTTGGTCCACACATGTCAAGAGATGCTTCTTTTTATACTAACTGACCCGGAAAACCCAATTTATGTAAATTTAATATGTTTACAATTACGTTTGTATATATTTTTGTCGTAGCGGATGTGTATCGGATTCAACTTCACGTATCTCGGAGGATACGGATTTACATTGAGAAGCTAGTTTAATGTATTACGCTGGAAGTTTAATACTTTTATATTTGGTTGGGTGCTAATCTATTTTATAATATAAATATATTGCATGATAATACTTTTATTAAAAATCAAAATGCGCACTAAACTGTTTAGGTGTGCGGAAACTTGTTTCACACCATAAATCAGGCTTAAGCCTCGATTATATATATATGTACATATCAGGGCTACGTATCGTATGTCGATCTTTATTAGCCAGCTTTTGCGTAAACGATGTCATGATTCGATTTGATGATACCTGTGTCTCCCACGCGGATAGCGTAGCTATACTTGTGTACCTATATATACATTAGATATAGACATAAACATCGAGTAAGATTATTATTAAACTATTATAGATATAATAGTTTCCAAAACAACAGCAACTGTTTTTCAATATTTGTTGCTATAGATTTAAAATTTGTAAACTCATAGTAAAAATTAGAGAAAAACAAATTGTTGTCGTTTTCCTTCATATTTTTGATCATGACAGCAAAAACTTACGAGCACTTACTTTTTAACATTAAGCAATGTTAAAAAGTAAGTGCTTTATGTTACAGCTGCATAGTACTTATCGTAAAAACTTTCATTTTAAATGAATACAATGTACAAACAATAGTTGATGCTACTATATCAAGAGATATTAAATAAAATATTCATTATTATTATTATTGTTTGCCATTTTAAGTTGTATGAAAAATTATATAAAAAAAACGTGGATATGTCATAGGCGTGCTGAAAAAGTCTGATAAGACTCTAATTAGCACTTCTAATAGTAATAAACACAGTTGCATATGCTTTCGCGCAAATGATAAATGATAATTATATTCTTGTCGATTTAAAAATTATATCAATTTAAATTATTTGAGAATGCAGTGAAACACATGGAATTCGGTAACCAAAGGGAGACATTATACAAAAGTCGTTTGTTTGGGCACTTCTGTTCCTTACGTGTTTCTACCGTGAAGCAGTTGTATCTGCATGGATGTGTTTCGGTTTGAAGGGTGGGATATGGCAGTGAATTTACAGGGTACAGAGGAATAACACCTGAGTCCTCAGAAATGGTAACGCATGGTGCCATGGGCGAAACAGTATACACTGTTATGGCCATGATACGCCAACGGTTACCACTTTCCATCAAGTGGGCCATTAGCTTATTTGCATGTTTAAGTTGCATAAAAAAACGCCTAGATATGTTTGTAGTAATTTCTTGAATTGTTATTGTTGAATTCCTGAGTTGTTTGTGGTGAGAAATAAATAAATATAAAACTGTAACTAATATTTTTTCAATTTTTTTTGAACCTATCTAACTACTTTAAAAAAATATTGCTGTACAGATTCACTGAGTAGACCTGAACAACAACTGTACTGTCCACACAAAATCTATCCATAAAACATTAACTAGAATGCTCAGTAATTATTCTATTACCACTATTACTGTGTAGGCCGGCGTATCGTGATCCTATTTAGCGTAACACCTGCTTTGTTCGCAGGCACTACTGAAGATTTCCTCGGCGTACCTCAACAAGAAAATACCAAATATACCCGACATAAAAGTGGACGGTGCAGAAGAGAAATGGTGCGTATAACTATAGCAATAAGATTCAATGAAGATAGTTTGCGCAAAGCGACCTTTATTTACAAACGAATAATGTAACATGTTGAATGTAACATACTAGGTACTTGCAGTGTGCTGAGTCAATATATCACGATATTACTATTTTAAATATTACGTCTGTTTATATTATTATTGTCACTATAATAACTCACGCATTTTACCTGCAAGGCATTGTTTTGTATGTGTTTCCTAAGTCGTTTTTACAGACTTTCTTACTCCGTCGCCACACGAAAAGTATATAACGAGTACACGAGTATAAAAGATGTATGTAACATATATATATATATATATATATATATATATATATATATATATATATATATATATATATATATACATATATATGTAATCAGATATAAGTACTTTCTCGTTCTTGGGTATTACTGAACTAGAAATAATGTATACGTATTAGGCGATAGCATATCGGCTGTTAATTGTCTACTGCTGACTACAGGCTTCTTCCTATTGGGGGTTTTGCCAGTAGTTGACACGCTTAGCAGGCAGGTTGGCAACTGCAATTAGTCCTTGGCAATGTTGTAAGACGGATGTTGCTACTCATTCCTCGATCATTAAGTTCCCTTAGTAGCCTCTTACGACACCCCCTGGAAAGGAAGAGGTGGCCTATTTTATGTCGGAACCACACGGAAATTAAGTATTAAGAAGCAAGATTTCAAACACACTGTTGACATAGCAATACATTATTGATTTTGCAAGAACCACGTAATAGTTTCATAGACGTATCACAATATTTATTGGTTTTATTTCTGCACTTTTACACGAAACACTGTCTGCTTTTTCTGCTCTGGGTATAAGTCGTCACCAGTTTGTGAGGTCGATGATGTCAGCAAGCCATGATTGACCTTCAGACCAATTAAGTCTCTTGCCAAATTAGGAATATATTTTTTCTACAGATTTTTTTACAGTTCTTTTGTACGGGCACATTTGGCTGCCTATTTAAAAATATTTTTAAGTGTCATATTTAAGATTAAAATTGTATGCTCACTATTTTTATTTCACAGGTCATTTATAGTAAAATTTTCAGTCCCAGAGGCTCATTGAGCGTGAATAAAAGCTCGTAATAAAAGCGTGAAAAAAATTGCAATAAAAGTACTTATTATATTTCTTCAATGAGTGAGAGAGAGATAGCAACTACTGTTTCCAAGCTGACGATACACTTCGATTTCAGTACGCTTCTGGGTATGCAGCTACATCAATACCTTTCCATATTGATAAATGATTTCTCTGAAACATCTTTTTGAAAAATACGTAGGTCCAGCTTCTTCTGTCTGAACATTTTGCTGTAAACAAAGTACTTCACTAGAAATTACTGCGACATCAATTTTCTGAGAAATAATTTCAATTTGTGCTCTTGAACTATGGCCATAATATCCTCGAGCTAAAACTGTTCCATTTCTTAGATTTTAACACCCGCATTTAGCGAATTGTAAATATTCCGGTTAAATAACCACAATAACTACTCAGTTTCCAATATGAATATATTGCAATAATATATACAAACTTGAATTATTAGAAGTTATAAAACGATTATGACGGAAATTTAATAATTCAGAAAATATATTCTTTTAAGAAATGTAAATGCAGTCATTTGATCGCTTTGGTATTTTCAGCGCTAGAGTAGAACACTGGGATATATAGTATAATCGTAACTTGGTTTATATTACTAACATGGATATTAATAAATAATAATATAATTCATAAATTGTTAGTACACTGGTTTCATGAATCAGAAACGCTTTGTGCTTATGGTGCCCTTTATGGCAGTGTTTTTCATTCTTTTTCATGACGCGACCCCCTTATTATGTAAAAATATCTTGCGACCCCCTACCCTCCACGGTTTCGAATGTGTAAGAATTTTATTATAGTACATTTATGAAATCCCTACAGTTGTATTTATATTCACAGTTAGGTACCTATAAAATAAAATAAATAATACATAATAAAGTATCTAAAACAGACACGTAATCGATGTCTGTTATAGATACTTCATTATGTATTATTCATTGATTGATGTATTTACAGAACTGTTGATTTTTCACTGCTTCGCGACCTTCCGCGACTCCTTTGTAGAGGCTCGGGGACTTCTTAAGAGGTCGCGACTCACACTTTGAAAAACATTGCTCTATGGTGTATTTACTGCAAATATCAGATTCGATATAGTTTCATAACTAGTTCCAGGAACGAAAGAAAGGAATGTGTCCTTTATTGGATATAGTTCCAATAATCTGGGGGGAATTGATTGTTAGTAATGCGGACTACCAGTCCCATTGCTAGCAATATACCCTGGCAGGTCAACCTACGTAGTCACCCTAGAAATCGTTTCAGTTTTTACATTCCCTTTTTGTACAGTTTTTATTCGACATATTTTTTTATCTATTGCTACACCTTAAGAACAATGTTAGCTAACAAATAGTGTATTCATTGGAAGGAGACAGTTCATATTATAGTCTTTTAAGCAATGGAATCATTCAATCCATTTCCGGACACATTTTGCGCATATCCGTATTTTAAACCTTGTTAGATTTATAACACTGTGAATATTTTAGTTGGTTTGCTAACTACGAAAATAATTTATTCAATATTCACGCCCCTAAGCTATTGAGATTAATACGACTGATGGATTTTGTATATTGAGCATAATTGATTATTGTGTTTAAAACTGTTCAACCAATATTATTTAAACCTACTTGGCAGGTAGGTATATTCTAAACATTCAAAATTAGGTTTTGTTTATTTATTATCTATTTGAGCACGACTTGAATAAGGATTCAGTACTCTGTAAGGGGAGGGAAAGGGATTATTAGCAACGGAGTTCGACATTGCTAGCAATAATATTATTATATATTTATTTTTATATAATAGCGCGGGTGGGGTTACCATTCCATTATCATCCATTAAAAAAAAGTACTCTGTAAGGACGTTACTAGCTATATGGTAAATCTGTATAGATAAGATATAATGTTCGTTGGTAAGCATGTCTCTTGTGAACGACGGGACCATGTGACATAGTACATTTAAAATTTTATAAAACAAAAAAAAATGTAGGTAACTTTAACAGGACAGTGTCGGTCTGGTCAGTTAGTTGTTAAGAGAAAGTTTCTATGTACTTACTATGTACTTCAAATAACTATAATGAAATAATGTTCAGCTCGTAAAATTTAAATTTTAATAAAAGGCCATGTCATGCTGTTGCCGTGATAAAGTTTAAAAATGCGCGAAAACTTTGTATAAGTACTTATTCAGTTCGTGGAAAGTTTAATGATGCTCTCTTGTGCTCCAAAAGGCTTATAGTCTTTTATAGATTGGTATTTTTATAATTTGAATACGCAATAAAATCGTTAGATTCGAGTGATTATCATCAATCAATCACCAATACATATAATAAAATTCTAACTGGTCGCTGTCTGTACATGGAAGATATATAAGAAAAACGATTATAGGTTGCTTTATGAACGCTATAGAATCCAAAACAATGGTTTTTAGAATAAATGCCTGTTTGTCTATTTGTCTGTACGTCTGTTTGTCTGTACATATATACACGTTAATCTCAGAAACGGGTTAACCCGTTTCTGATTTGAATGCGATTTTCACTAATATGTTGCGGTTTACTCCACTTAACATTTAGTGTTTGTTTTATTTCAATCGGTTCATAAATAAAAAAGTTATATCAATCTAAAAAAATTACATATTTAATGCTATAAAACAACCGATCAGTTGAATAATCGATTTTAAAAATTTCGTGATCAATTTTAAATTATTCGTGCGGGGTTCGAACCCGCGACCATCGGGCCGCCGCTTGTTCACAATTACAATAAAATAAAGTTTGCAAATAATAAATTTAAAAGTAAAAAGTGGGGTCAACAGTTGTCATGCTTCTTCATGTGTCATTCTTTAATCGTTCTAATACCAATTTAGACGAGCTTGGTATGAACTGGCTTACGCAGTGATTACGGACCCCGGTATATAGTTTTCATTTTACTTCTTTTAACCTACGTTGTTAAAAAAAACTCTGATATCGCGTATTAGGATCCATAATAAAAAAAAGGTAGGCATCTAGATACAAAAAATATATCAAGCAATCATTTTATATGTATAAATATTTTTATATTATATACTAGTCTATTTTTATAATATATAAATAATACTAAATTAAATTTTATTAAAATATAATTTTCAATTTTAGATTACGAATTATATTCTTGATCATAGATTTATTACTATCAATCAATAAGATATTTTATCGATTGCATACATAAGTCATCTAACGTCAGTTGTTTAATAGTACGTCAGCCATCGGTTACATTTTAGAGAGTTTGCACTGGTTATGTGTTTACTAATTCTGAATAATAAAATTTATATATATATATATATATATATATATATATATATATATATATATATATATATATATATATATATATATAGTACATATTTATGTATGTATATATATTGAACAAATTGCGTCATTTACTACATAATTAGTAATTTGCACGTATTGCAAACTATAGTTGTCTAACGCGAGGTATACAAGTATACCCCACATATTTGGAAAGTATTGAAACACAATTGTAAACTAAATATTAGACAATACACCTTGTATTTGTGCTTTAGATATCATGTTGTAGTACTTGCTAAATCTCAGTATGTAATATAGTCTGGCCACTCATACTAATGTCTTAATTTCACACATTGTAGTTTTATACATCATAATCGCTTGTAACTCTGTCGATCACCTCGCCAACATTAATGGGCCATTCATTTGTAACTTCAAAAGGTGATCGTTAATAGCGATAATTACAAGAAACGATCCTGATTGCTTTGAATGTATACATTCCAGGTTTTACCCGCATCGTAGTAATCAAGGATTGGGCTTATAGTACCTGCTGCAATCATACACCAACACCGGCTGTACACCTGCCCCATAAGAAGTACCATTCCAAGAA